CTCAATCATCTATTAACAAAGGTGCGGGTTTATTTAGGCACTTCCGTCAGTGAATACACAGCCTGCAAAACACTAAAATAAATATCAAAGAAATAATACAGTTAAACAAGAAAGTAGCCTAAATAAGAAAGGTAAATACACCCTGTCTACAGGACGCGGCGCGTCAAAATACTATAAAACTCATTATAATCAGTGATGCTACACTGGATGCGACACGACAAGACAGTAAACTGCCTCATTCTATTTATGAGGTACTGACACAGAGTTCAAATGTCCTGTGTAGACACTAGACAGACTCAACCTGTTGCGACGCGGTGGTGTCGCGTCCGGTGTAGACACGGTTCACTGTTCCGCTACTGTTATTACTGTTATTACACTTGTATACAAAACTTCGTATTATGCTTGTTATAGAGTGCGTGATGTCACGTGCACTACCACCGGTGGCAGTAGACAACCGCGGTGGCAAGCGACCGACGCGGTTGTCACGGTGACCATCACAGCCCTAAACCCCACCCCTAAACCTGCCGTCACTATGACGTCAGCCAATCAGGAAACATGGTCTAAAAACACCCCGATCTGGTAACTCCCATTACTTTCCTGCAGAGACCTATACTTGACGGCATCTGAAATGAGAGTACTTGATTTCGTCCTTCGGGAATTGATTGGATCGTTGGATGTTGGGGCATTGCCAACAAAATGGAGGCAGATCTAAGATGCCAGTTTGCAGTTAGTGGTGGGGGTTTTCTCTCCACTGGATTCACCGCCGACACCCAAGGTTGAATAAATGTTTTATTTATTAAGGATGACGACGACAATCAACGGCACAAAACATGCGAGAGAGAGAGACTGAGCGTATCCTCCATAAAGTTAAGTCATATTCATGAAAAAAAAATTAGTTTGCGATGTCCTAAGAGTAATGTTGTCATAATATCCTAATATCTTTTCAATGTTTAAGGGTAATGTACTCCCTCATGACTGGTGTCAGTGCTATAAAGTGAAGCATCAGCTTCAGCTTTTCCCCCCAGATGTCACTGATGTCACTGCAGCTGTTGGCAGTTCCAGATAGCTCCGCCCTTGCGCCATAGCTCGTGACTAGAAGAGTAGAGGAGTCGTTTTGAGGGGGAGGGGAGGTTAACGTTTTTGATTAATGATTACAAGGGCACATGAATTTAAAAAAAAATAATGAAGTGCACGGATAAATTATTTATAATAAACACTACAGTATTCCATAAAAAAATAAGAATTGTCAATTTTAATTTCATGCCGACTTTAAGAATCGATATCGTTCCGTAAAAATGAGAATCGATTAAAATCAAGATATCGATATTTTTTACAGAGCCCGAGTAGATTCAAGTAATGCATGATGATGATATGCTGTATAATATTCATAATGATGAACTAAGAATAAATTGTCTTATTGGAGTCAGTCAGAGTTTTAAGAATGAACGCCATGGATGTACAGTGGGAAAAATTATCCCTCCTAAGTAGGGGTGGTCCGATCAGGATTTTTGAGGCCGATCACTGATCGCCGATCATAGAAAAAAGTATCTGCCGATACCAATCACCGATACCGATCTTTTTAAAGCCTTCTTTTTATAATTTATAACTATTTATAGTGATACTCCAATCAGGATTTTTAGACATTTATTCAGGGCCTGAATTTCATTTTTGAAAATGGGGGGAATTCCCCTCTTATGTGACTCTTGTGAGAGGAGAAGCAGCTTTCACACAGGAGTCCGCTACTGATCCGTGGCTGATTACCACAAACACAACATTTATCCATTATTTTGATTTCAAATCCAAACATTGTCACTGAAAATGCTTTTTCAGCATTGTAAAATATGCATTTATGGTGTAATTACTACATTTTCGTGTCAATCCATGTTCATATTTACTGCAAAAATGCGCTGTTACTTTAATTCAGCGCTTGCAGCGCAGCAAAAATAGACTCGGTGCAGAAACGATTTCTGCACTGCAGCAGACGCACTGCTCCTGGAACGCACTGCTGGACAGCAACCATGTGCAGTGTGCGCGCTTTATTAATCTGTTAACATGAGCGCTGAAAAAATACGCACCACATACGCACTGCAAACCGGAGTAATGTGAACCTGGTATTATGTGTGTGCGCTGCGAGTGGGCATGAGCACATGGTCTCCAGGAGAGCACGCGAGCGCTGAATGGTTAAACACTGGCAAAAATTAAAAAGAAATGCAATTTATAAACTCGGCAACGTCATCGGCTTGAGATCGTTTTTTGGAGATCAGCTTTTTTAGAGACCACCGATCAAACATCCCAACGTGATTATCGGCCGATAGTGATCGGTAGCCGATCAGTCGGAGCACCCCTACTCCTAAGTGAGCGCAAGAGAAATGAGGTGAGGGGAGGGCTAATTGGATTTACATGGGTACAGTGCTAAAATGAGTGCCTTGTGAAAGTTAGCTATTTTCTACCCCGTTTATATGTTGTGTGGAATCCAGAGTTGGAGGGAAAGTGCAAATTGATAAACGTCTGTCTCACAGAATCTAAGGCATATTTTGGTGTGTCATGTTTGATCTTGCCTTCGGCCCCTTGTGAGTCAAAACTGCTGCTGTCCTTGCTTTTATGTGTGGTTTAGACTTGAAAAATGAGCTTCTGGCACCACACAGTTTTGCTTTTACATAGCATTATTAGTGTTTTCTCTGCCTGACATTCAGGAAGATGAATGAATTGCATAATCACTGACAGTTCTAAAAGTGAACTGGGTGAATCGTATCATATTTTTAGATGTTACAGAATCAGGCTAGATTTTTTTCAGTCAGACTACTATATGCAGCGTTTGTATGTGTTTTAATATTTCTTTTTATTAAAATGTCATACATAACACTTTGTATATATTTACATTTTTGATTACACAGTGATGCAGGTTTCACAAACCTTAACACAAAACTCGTTTCATTTTGATATAAATATCTCTGTTATTTGTTCATGAATTGGATTAAACTGGTCACAGTCACACTGTGTGTGTTTTGTGTCTTGATTTGATTTTGTGGTATGATCAGTACTAGAGGTCGACTGATTAATCGGTTTTGCCGATTAATCGGCACCGATAGTTGATTGGCGGAACTATGGGTTATCGGCAAAAATCAATGATTCTTGAAGCAAACTTATGTCCGTTTGGTGATTAAATAAACAGTTTTAGACTGCTGCTGGAATTGAAAGTGACGCGTCTGGTGTGTGACATCTCCGAGAACGCATCGCAGGGCTCTACAGTGCGACCATTTGAAAACTACTGCATGCGACTATGAAAACATATTTAGGAGCACCAGTGCGACTGACCAGATCTTCATCATATTTGTGATTGTGATCGCTGAGGGGAGCTTCAAAGGTGTTTTTGCAGCGTTGAGTTATGAATCACAGACATATCTCATGAATCCTTTCATAAGCAAAGTGAGAGAT